TACTTAAAATTTAGAAAAATTATCCCTACTTTGGCTCAGACTAACATAATTACAGTGATTTGCCAAAATAGGGTTAAATTTTTTTTAATTTTAAGTAACTCAGTTTATGTAGTTTTGACTATCTGTTTCAATACTTTTTATAGCATTAAAACATTCTATATCATACCAACATGTCTTTATAAAATTTGAATTTTTTTATTATACTTATGTATTGAAATATGTACCCATCATTACATATGTTTGTGTGTATGGAATCATGTTACGTCATTACATAACAAGATCATCATTTCTGAATAAGCTGCTTTTTACAGATTATTGAATCAAGGAAGCTGAGAGTTTTTCCTACTAAATGAATCTTGTATGTTTTTCAGAATTTATCATTTATATGTTTTCTATTCTTGTAGAGGATCCTTAAAAATAAAAAATACTGATAATATTTTTCAGCTTCGAGTATTCAAACTAGCCAAATCATGGCCCACCTTGAACTTATTAATATCTATCATGGGAAAAACTGTTGGAGCATTGGGAAACCTGACGTTTGTGTTGGGTATCATTATCTTCATATTTGCTGTGATGGGAATGCAACTGTTTGGAAAGAACTACCAAGAAAACAAACATTTGTAAGTAATTTGTAAATTAAAACAGACTGGAAAAAAACTCTTTGAATACTGTTTATTAGGATATGCTTTCCACACATATTGGTGAATATTTTCACAGACTTGTCTTTGGAATATAAACCTAGGTTTCATATTTGTTTCAAAGTAAATTAGTTTTTGTTATTAGAAATCGTTTTTCTTGAATCTTACAAGATTATTGCTAATTGTATATTAATGCAAGAGATATATTGTGAGATTCCATTACATATAATAATGCAAGAGATTTATTATTATTATTCAAATTTGATGACGAGGAACCCACTTTCAGACCAATAATGCTTGGAGATGGCTTGAATGGGTAATGAAAAAAAACTTTAATATAAGTTTAACATAACAGGAAATGTATAACGTTTCGACAAGGTTTTGTCATCATCAGGTACTTGTTGAAATGTTGTACATTTGCTGTTATGTTAAACTTATATTAAAGTTTTTCTTCATTACCCATTCAAGCCATCTCCAAGCAGTATTAGATTTATTATTAGTTATATAATAATACAACAAATTTATTGCCAGTTTGCATTACATATAATGATACAATAATTATTTTAAATTACAAGTAAAAAACACACTGAGGAAAACCTAAGATAAAAATTCGTAAATAATATACTAATTATTAAAAACATATAATGCAGTATAATTTTTAGCCACAGTATAGCGACTCATAGAATGACTCTGAGTTTTTTTTTTTCAAAGTACAAATTTTTAGCTCATAGCTCTGCCCTCTATTGACTGATTTGAGATCTGATTACAGTTTTGGACTCAGGATGTCAAACCCTTTTGATTTATGTATTTGACCATGCCCAAAGTCTCATAGATTAATTTACTCTAATCCTGCCCAAAATAATTTCAATTTGAGGGTAGGCTTGTTGAGATCCTGATGAGTAATAAAATTGAATCGGGTATACTCGCCCCATGCTTGGTATTGCTGGAGCACAAAAATATAGCTAATAAAAAGGAAAAAAGGTCTCATAGATTAATTTACCCTAACCCTGCTTAAAAAAATTTCAACTGTCATGGCAATTGAGGATTCCCTCTTCTTTTTACATCTAAAACTACATAGAATATAGCTTTCCTATGTCAAATTCAAATAAACTATAACTTTTTATGGCAAATCCACATGTACTATAACTTCTAAGGGTGAAACTACTTACAGAATAACTGTTTAATGGCAAAAAAACATACACTATAACTTTCTTATAGCAATATCACATACACTCTAACTGCTTATGGTAAAAATATATATAGAATAACGTTTTGTGGCAAAATTATGCTACCTTTCTTATGGTAAAAGAGCATACAGTTTAATTTTATTTGAATAAAATTGCATATCATAAAACTTTTGTAGGAAACTAAGCTATAACAAGTAAGTAATTTTTCATGGCAATCCATCAAATTACTTTCATCCATTAAATTACTGTATTCCAGACTTTTTTATTTTAAGTCTTGTTAAAAATAAACTATCAAACCTCAGTATAAAGAGTTAACCATTCTTTAAAAGAGATTCAAGTACAATTTGTATATCCTTGAAATAAATGATCTTATAACACCAAATTGTTGTTTTGATTTAATTAGACACTCAATGTTTCACTTTGCAGCTTCTTTAGCAGCTTTCCACTAAAACACAAACCGTAACTGACAGTACAAAGCTTCAAATGATTTAAATAATAAATTCTTAATATTAAATAAAAACAACAATTTGGTGTTGTGAGGTCCTTTTTTCCTAGTATTAAAATGTCTTCTATACACCAATATTCACTACAGAAATTAAATAATTTGTATATCCTAACTCAGAGATGAGTTGTGTTTAGCTCATTGTGAATTATATTGTATAATATATCCCAGGTAGACTTATGACTGAGGCAGGGTATTTATAAAGCACATTTTTTTAACTATGTAGAGCCAAAGGACACAACATTTTGAAAATCTCGCACAGCAGAGCATTTAGGGCAGTATTGGATCTACATTACACACTAATCTAATTTGAAGCAACACATTCACTACAAATTGATGAAATGATGCTTGTTTATAAAAAAGAACCTTCTAACCCTGGTAATGCTAGAAAGATAATAAACAAGTACTTGACATTAATTAACAAACCATGAGCTGAAAGTTCATAAGTTTCTATCCACACCTTCAAATCAAGGGTTGTTTTATTAAGAAGAGTGACTAAGAAACTGGAATCACAGCAATCATGTTTGACTATATATCTGTAAAACCTCTGATGCAGTTCCAATGGGTGTTTGTCTCTTGATATTCGTAATCATGGTGTTGGAAACCAATTCTCATGAAAAGTGGAGGGTCTGTGGAAAGTTTTGTGGTTTATGCTTCACCTCACTGTCCTTTTAATCGCATTGTCAGTCAACAGTGCATAATAGCGGAACATGATTCACACTAGAAGAAATAATTTAACGGTAGCCAGGGCCTAGAACATTATAGTGTAATTATCCCTCGGTTAACCTACACTGAATGGGACTTTATTCCTTATCACTATATTTTCTAACTTTATTTTAAAGCCAAGACATTAAGAATAAGTTTCTACTTTCATATTTTATAGAAGTATGCATGTTGTCATCCATCAAAACCAAACACACCCAGTCATTATGATTCAATGTTGAACTTAATGTTTATCGTAACATGTTTATTTTTTCATGTAACATTCCTTTTTTTTTACTCTAACCATATATTTATTTAATTGATAGTTGAAACCGTCTGTACTTGATGAAACTCTATAATTACAGAATTGAGGAAAAAAACAAAGACTATTGGACATTTCACAAAAACTTCATTTATTAACAACCATGGTTTCACTTGTAAAGGCATTATCAGGTACCTGAGTCTCTTTGTTTCAACTTGTAAAACCATGTCATACTCTGAATGCTCATAATTGTTTAATACTCTGTACACTACTATAAGTATTATTACTTTACGTGTAGTTTTATTAAAGTTACATCTACGTGAGAGTGTTTGTCTGACCTCGTAAATCTTTTTTCAAATAGACCAGGATTTATCGATCTAACACATAATGCCTGCAAGAAAGCTTAGTTTAAATGGTGTGCATGAAAATAATATAATAAGGAAAATTCAAGCAAAGGGCATGAAAACTACCACAAATGTTTTGTGGGTCACAAATAGTAAATGTACATAATAGCATATGTTACGATACATGCAACATTAGCAGTGCTCAAAGTGTTACTACTTAACAAAGTGTACACTATATTGATTATCTGATGTGTAAATATACTGTGAATTCAGTTACCTCATTTACCATTACCAGTTACAAAATTAAGATCTAAGAAACCAACTATACTAATGGTTGATGAAGATGATATCTGGTTCAAAGAGAACCAGTACAACAGTAGCTGACCACTCATGTCTCCATTGAGGCTAGTTTACTCAATGAAGTAATATTTCAAGATGGATGAACTTTGATATTTAACAATGGAAATAGTTACCTCAATTCATGCAATGCTTAAAATTATTGAAAAGGTTATGACGAAAAGGTAATCATTGTTTGTTTTTCTTCCATGATACACAGGTTTCCTGATGGGCAGGTGCCACGTTGGAACTTCCAAGACTTCATGCATTCTTTCATGATTGTATTCAGAGTCCTGTGTGGAGAATGGATTGAGTCCATGTGGGATTGTATGCTAGTGTCTGGATGGTCATGCATTCCTTTCTTCTTAGCAACTGTAGTCATTGGTAACCTAGTAGTAAGTTATCTTCAGGATATTGTATTCCTTTCTTAGCAACCATAGTCATTGGTAACCTAGTGGTAAGATATCTTCAGGATATTGTATTCCTTTCTTAGCAACCATAGTCATTGGTAACCTAATGGTAAGATATCTTCAGGATATTGTATTCCTTTCTTAGCAACCATAGTCATTGGTAACCTAGTAATAAGTTATCTTCAGGATATTGCATTCCTTTCTTCTTAGCAACTGTAGTCATTGGTAACTTAGTAGTAAGTTATCTTCAGGATATTGTATTCCTTACTTAGCAACTATAGTCATTGGTAACCTAGTAGTAAGTTATCTTCAGGATATTTTGTAGAAATGAGAATTTGTGTTATTATAGAAAGTTAAGGTTGAATTAAGATACAGCTAAAGATTGACTGGAGTCAGTTTGCCACTAGAATGGTCACTGTTTTCTTATTTTGAACAGTTATATTGCTATCTTTTACGATGCAAATTTCTTTAAAAACTTAACTTATTCTATCCATCTATCTATAGAAGAAACATTATTCACTCACTCCTACTTTTAAAGATTCAAGTTTAATAGCCTAATCATTGGTTTATAGTCTTTTTAATCTCTGTAATAGATCCTGATGAGCAATTTTATTATTCACAAATAGCTACTAGAATATATCCTCAACTTCATTAGTAGCATGTCTGTAATTGTGCTTGCCCTAATTTGGAATAATATTTTCTTCATTATGTAAGTAACTACAAGTTGTGTCATGATGTTGAGTAGCGACTTAATTTTACTTTATATTTTTTTCTAGTGTGTAAGATTTTGGAATTACGTCTTTTACACTCTCAGTTTTAATTGAACCTTAAAATCTCTTATAAATGAGATACTACCTATACATGTCTTTTGTGGTCAGCTAAACCATAAATTCTCATAGAAATACATTTCCCATGATTATGATTTGTTATCATCAACTCTATTTATTTTTATCCAAATTTACTTAGGTACTGAACCTTTTCCTTGCCTTGTTGCTTTCTTCTTTTGGAGCATCAAACCTGTCAGCACCATCATCAGAGAGTCGTGACACTCAGGGGCTACAAGAAGCTTTTAATCGATTTTCTAGAGCATCTGCATGGCTAAAATCTAATGTTCTCAAACTTCTCAAGGTATTTCTAGAGCACCCAAGTAGTTAAAATCTGATCTTCTCTCACATCTAAAGGTATTTCTAGAGCATCCAAGTAGTTAAAATCTGATCTTCTCTCACATCTAAAGGTATTTCTAGAGAATCCAACTGGATAACATGTAATGTTTTGTCACATCCAAAATTCTTTCTGGAGCATCTAAAATCAATAAAATCTAGAATTCTTTCATATTTGAAAGTATTTCTAATGCATCTGATTGGATGAAATACAATCTTCTTTCATGTCTGGCTAGTCTAACACTAGTCAATTATCAATATATATATATACATATAATGAAAATGAGTTTGATTCACTGAGTGATTAACACACTATCATGTAACACTAGTCAGTTATCAGTATATCTGTTTAATGAAAGTGAGCTTTATTGACTGAGTGATGAGCACACTGTCATGTAACACTAGTCAGTTATCAATATATTTATTTAATGAAAGTGAGTTTGATTCACTGAGTGACTAGCACACTGTCATGTAACACTAGTCAGTTATCAGTGTATCTATTTAATGAAAGTGAGTTTGATTCACTGAGTGATTAGCACACTGACAAGTAAAGCTGTATGGTATATTTACTTAAAAACATTATATTCTTGTACTTCTATGGACAGAGCATAAAACCTAAAGCGAGAAACCAAATTGGAGACCAGACCCCAGATCATCGGGATGAGGTGGAAGACCATCCTCCAGTTGGAGACATGATGATTGATGGAAACTTTCCAATGAAGAAAAAGAAAACCCCTAAGGAACACACAGAGCTAGATGTGATGGTTACAGAAGGAATGGAGATTGCTATTCGAGGTTTTGGTATGATTTTTATACAAATTTTTTGTTTCTTAAATCTTTTAGTCAAATCTAATGAGTATAATTAACCAGGTAAGTTACATACCTAAACCTAACCAGGTAAGTTACATATCTAAAATTAACCAGGTAAGTTATGTACCCAAAATTAACCAGGTAAGTTACACACCTAAAAATAACCATGTAAGTTACATACCTAAAAGTAACAATATAAGATACATAACTAAAACTAACCAGGTAAGTTACATACCTAAAATTAATGAAGTAAGCTACATATTAATGTGTTATTAAAATCTAAAATGTGTCTTCAGAAATAGAATTATTGTTCACTTAAAATTGTGCAAGTGATCATGTTTGCTTTGATAATTGTATATGAAACAAGTTAAAATTTTGCCTCCTACTGTTAAAGTGCATTATAAATATTGAAATTGAAAGGCCTATGGTTATCAGATAAATTAATAAAAAAATTATACATTATTTCTGTTTAGCAACAATCCCATGCGTAATTAATATAACCAAAGTATATGATGTTAAACAAAGGTCAAATTTCATTCTTTGCTATATTATCAAAACAACTATCAGACTAAAAACTTAAAAATAGGACAAAAAGTAGTAAGCAATTTGTATCAAGCAATTAAAAACAATTAGTACTAATTAATAACACTGGGCAACAAGTAATTTTCATCAGATATAATTATAGGTGGGGTAGATAGCTCTTGGGACAAATCTGTTTTTGGTTTTCCTCTAGCATGTCAAGTTTTCGTGATGAGACTGATCAAATTTGAAAGGTTTTTGCCTTAATTATAATTTAAGTTGTTGTACTTTTTTTTTTTCATAAGTGTGTATTGTAGAAATTTAGCCAAGTGTATGGTGTTTATAACGTTTATGGGAATTATATTGAAAAATTAATAAAGTTGTAACATTAACTAGCCTAATGTGTGATTATTACCTAAATTGTGCTGAAATTAACACCAGTCATATTTTGATAACTAGATATGCTAAAAGAAACCCAAAAACAGATTTGGATTAAGTGTGCAAAACTAGTCTATAAAAGTGTGTTTACCTCTTTGATGAAAGAAAAAAGTTCAATTTCGTCGACTAGTGTAATTAGACTTAGGTGATCATATAGGATACTAACCATCACAATGATTCCAGGATGTTATTGTTTCACAAGAAAAAAATGTTTAAATTTCTGACTAAAATTTATTGTATAATTATTTTGCAATCTTTTGTTTCCCATAGATGAGTAATAACTAAATATTACACTTGAACTAAAAAATAATAGTGGATAAAAGCACAAAATACTGCCCGGGTTTCAATTTATCTCACAATATATGTATATTTTTATTAGGTAGACTTTTTTTTACATCATGATAGGCTACATTTGAATAAATGTTATATTATTAGATACACTTTTTTGTCATGATTGGCTACATTTAAGTATGGGTGTGTTATTAAGTAGACTTTTTTTAATTATGATTGGCTACATATACATAACTGTATTATTCAATAGACTTTTTTACATCATGACTGGCTGCATTTAAAAGGCTATAATACATGTACTGAAGTGATTGAAGAGTATATTTTATTATTTTGTAGGAGATGGCAAAGCTGTAACTGTGAAACTTAACAACAACTCAATGAAGAATTCTCTTCATGCATCTACTGTAATCGAATCAAAGGACATAATTTCAAATCGAGAGTTAGAAAATAAAACAAAGGTAAGTAACATACTCATTTTAAGAGCTGTTCTATATTTCATGATACTACAAAGGTAAGAAACACATTCATATTAAGAGCTGTTCTATATTTCATGATACTACAAAGGTAAGTAAGACATTCATATTAAGAGCTGTTCTATATTTCATGATACTACAAAGGTAAGTAAGACATTCATATTAAGAGCTGTTCTATATTTCATGATACTTTTGGGTGTCATATATTCTCCTTTTTTTTAACTTGATGTAACAAAACGTTTTGTGGTTGTTGCTAATGTTAAAAAGTCAAAGATTTGGTTTGTCTTTAATATTCATTATAACATTTAAAAGATACCAAATGTTTACCATTTACCTTTCAGTTAATCTTGTATACCTTGAAGTATAATTATATGGAGTTTGACAAGTATGGACTGTATGCCATATTTTTGGTAGAATAACTATTATTTAAAGATGATTTTAGTTTTAAAGTAACTGAAGGGATATTTAGATATTGGTTTCTTTAAGAAATAAAAATTAATTTAAGTGCTTTGTATACTTATATTATCATCAACTTCTGATCAAAGCAAGCCACCTACATAGGTCAGAATACAACTGAACCCATTAATGAAAGTAGCTGATGTAATATACTTCTCTTACTTATAATGATGATTCGTCAGTTGGGTACCTTTACTGTTATTTTGGTTACAATCAGGAGGTTCGACAACCTTAGGAGAATTATGTCATTCTTAATCCATATACTAAGCTAACAGTGTAAAATAATCCTCATAGTAAAAAAAAAAGGAAAAACAATAAAAATAAATATGTATGATTCAACCAATGCTGTTAATGAAACTAACATTAAAAAAAAGAATAAAATATTACTTAATTACAATACATTTAAAACTAATTTGGGCTATCACTGATTCAATGCCCCTTGAGAAGCATGACACCAGTATATGCAAAACGTTACACAATGAAAGCCCATTAAAAATCTCCAACAATGTAAGTTTAACTTAATATTTCAGACAAATTAATATTACACACATTACTGTTTAATTATAGAATCGGCTAGCAGGATGGTACAGATAGAACAGCAGAAAAGTGTTTATGAAGATTAAACAAATTATAATACTAAATTAAATGAAAAACAAAATCTTATAATGAATAGTGAAAATATAACACTGTAATTAAAATAACCAAGTTAAATGTGATAGAAAGAAAATTAATTTACAAAACATAGTATGAGCAGTTTGACGCATTTGATTATCCTCTACACAAAATCACTGACTTTATGTTTGATAAGGGATATCCCTGTCACAATCTATAGTCTAGGTGTGATCAGCACAGAATTAAAATTCAAAGTTTTATATCAAAACATTGCAAACCAGAAGCAGGTGTGTTTAGGGGTCAACCTAGGAATTCATTGTCTGAACATAAAATAAAAAACTGTGGGTTGTATGGTATATCAACAACAAGATAAATGGTATAGTCTTTATCTTTTTCTGTTTCTGGCAAGGAGAAGGAACATCTGGGTGTTAAGGTGTACCCCCAGAAAGATGATGATACTTTAAGCATAAATTCAACTGAAAGCCAGAAGGACTGGAAAGACAAATCAAACAATAATGAGCAAAGCAAGTCTTCTTTGTATGAAGAAAAAAAAGATGTCAGTAAAGAAGATTTTGAAGGAAATGAAGGTATGGCATGGAGTGACTGTCTTCGGGATAAACAGTTTTTATACTTATGTGTGTATATTTATATGGACATAGCACTTGATACATTGTCATACGTTTTTGAGTTTTAAGTGTGTTGTATGATAATTTTTATGTTATTTATTCAGTGAATTTTAGTTATCAAAGTTTCAACAAAAAATATACAGGTTTGGTTTCCTTCTGACAATAGCTAAGTGCATGTGTAATAAAGAGTATTTACAAGTTCAAAACAAACTAAGAAAGGATTAATTTAAAAATACAACTTTTACAGCAATTGTTAAAATCAGAACTTGCCTATTGTAAAAGTTACTGTTATTGTATATTTGAAATAAATATTCATTTCATGAGGTTCCTCTCTAAACATTAAACCCAGAAATTATTTTGTTACACAACATACAGGGAATGTAACAGACATGAATCTAATCCAAAAAGGAATATGTCAAACAAACTTTCTATTAACATTGAGATCAAATAAGAAATAAGAGAGAAATGGAGAATATTGAGTGAGGTGTACTGTGCATTTAAACAATTTGTTTTGTGTGTTGTGTTATGTAATGACTAAAGCCTTACTACTTTTCTATAACATTGTGGAAAATGAAAAGAAATATTTGTGCATACTTATTTTCTTTATTTTTACAGTTACCATAGCTAGTTGAGTCATTATATATGCGTGTACTGTTCAAGCATATAAGGCTGTGGCAATCCTCATTTCAACATCTTCATTCATTTGTTGGTTTTTATTTTTGTTTGAAAGTATTTCAAATCCTTTAAAGAAAATATACTCAAATTTGTAGATTCTCCAGACACTATATTGTTTTCCAGGTTTGTGTATACCTCTTCTTCTATTAGTTTTCTTGAGTGAGACATTTTTGAAATAAAAGTTGCAGTTACCAGTTCCTCGTGTTTCACTTGTTACGTCATTGTTTTTACTTCCGTAGTAGACTTTTCACAGAGCACAGACACAGAAGTAATAGATTCTAGGAATATAGAATCGACAACAGAAGATGTGGTTTTAGACGAAGAACCCATGGACTGCTGCCCTGACTGTTGCTATGTGCGATTTCCCTGGTGTGCAGGCAAAGAAGATTCCCCATACTGGAAATTTTGGGAGAAACTTCGATCAAAATGTTTTCATGTGGTGGAAAACAAGTACTTTGAAACGTTGGTAGTCACCCTAATTATGATCAGTAGTCTAACATTGGTATGTATGGTTTTTGTTGGAAAACAATAAACTAATACTTCTAAGTAGGTAATTGTATGAAATGAAACACAAATTCTGGACTGAATATTGTTTTGTGGAAAAGTATATAACTTAATAGTCAGTATTTGAAAAAAACATTAAATTTAACTGAATAGGATTCAGTTGTTTAAGGAGATGAGGACTAACCTAGTACTAGATTATTAAATTGTTTAAATAAACTAGTACTAAAATATCATGTTAAGTATTAGTCATTAACTCAACACAGTTTTCAGTTATTCTGAGAAAAAATTATTAATCAACATGTAGCAATGCTAACTATTTATTTCATAAAATATCACCATTTTAACATTGAGAATGTTTTATTCCAGTACCATATCTTACCTCCTCTCGCAAAATAGCTTTCTTTATTAGTACTGTCAACTATCGGCACAAATTTCAACGCTCCCCACTAGTCTTCCACCTCCCGCTTCTACATCTCCGCATGTAAATGATTATGCAACATCTCACCACCAATAGAAGCGTGACACAACCCCTATTGTAAACAGCGCCCTCTCCACAATTGCATTCGTTAATCACTTCTTGATTGGCAGTAGTACAATACAGATGTGCTTGTATTTGCTTGCAAATTTGTCAATGTTTTCCTCTATACTACAGACTCCATTTTTATTTAATTTTTCATATTTTTGAATTGTGAAAGGTTGTTTTTTCCACTTTTTCATATTTTTTTTGCTTCAAGTTGGGAATTGTCACTATGCACTTACAGTTAGTTACAACTACCACAGCTGTTACTGCTGCTGTGGATTTTCTGACCACTGTTACAGGATTGAATATCCAATTATCAGCCAAGATCGTGATGGCAATTATTCGATGAGAAATGTCCACATATATGTAACCTTCTCCATAATACGAGGAATATCCTGTCATGCCTGCTCCTGGGGTGTCTGACAAGGAGGATGGGAATTTGGACAGTCTATCTCCCTCTCCCCCAAATATACTTCCCAGTCATGAGTGTTATCAGGGGATTTACCCAGACCTCTTTCACCCTTTGTGGAATTGATTAATCAGGTTTGTGCTGTCTTATCTTTATCTCCTCTTTCCTATGACTCTCAACCTGCTCTCCTTTGGTGAATAATTTATGGGCCAATACTTTTTGTTCCCTCTCTCACCTTGTGTTGAGTTTCATGCCCAGCATTTTGGGGATCAACTTTAGTTTAGGGTTAGTCTGTTTCGTACACCTGCAGATCATGCTTATACATTTCTTAGATCTTCCTTCCCTTATTTTGATTCCCAACATTTAGAATCTCATTACACTGTGGGGTTCGATTCCTATAGCATTGGTGAATTTCTAGCAGCGTCAATTCTCATATCAGATTGATGTTGTCCACAGTTCTGCTTGCACTATCGACTATGCATTTGCTGGCTTAGGCAATTCACTTGTCTCCTGAAGGGTTTTCAGATAATATTCACAGTCTTCTGTTTACTACAATAACATACCTTTCACCTTTGGCCCTGCTCTTCAAATGTGGCTGATATGCTGTTTGGATTTTTTGGGTTGGGATGCCATTCTTTTTCGAGTAGGTTTACCTGCTACTTCCCGAATTTTACGTGAAGAGGTGCTTGGTGGTTTTCCTGACTCATTGGAGGCCTTAGTTAAGTCTGCACGTTTGCATAATTTATTATTTTCCCATTTATCCCAACCTCCTCTAACTGTTTCTGTGTCTCCCCCTCTCCATCCAACCATTTGCCGGTCTTAACTTCTCGTTCTTTACCCATTTGCAGTCGATTTGTTACTGTGTTTGAGAGGATTACAGAGTCGGGGTCCAGTGGGAGCCATGCTTTTCCATTTTTGCCAGATGTGGATACCATTTACAATGTGTCCTACAGGTTCTATCAGTGGGTCAGGTGTTGGTTGAAGATAGTGCAAATGTGGAGAGGGCACTGGTTACAATAGGGGTTGTGTTGTGCTCCTATTGGTGGAGAGCTGCTGCATAATCATTTACTTGTGGATATGCAGAAGCGGGAGTTGGAAGGCAAGTGGAAAGTGTTGAAAATTTGTGCCTATAAAAGGCAGTACTACTTAAGAAAAGCTATTTTGTGAGAGGAGGGATCTATGGGAAATACATTTTCAGGTTAGAAAAATGTTAACGCTGTGTAAGAAAACAATTTAGCTAATACTATTAAATATTTGTTTTATAATTTTTTTTAAATATTATATAACTTCTCATTTGGAAAAAAACTCATTTTTTTTAACCATATACTTAAATGTCTTACTTATTACCAGTTTAAAGATTTTGTTTCTCTCATATATTAACATGGTAGTAACTTGGGGATTTCTTAGGGTCACTGACTTTCCTCAGAGTAAGTGGGTAAAATTTGCAAAGAAAAGAAGGTATGTCAGATCATGAAGTTTAGATCTGACTCTGACTGACTGAGTGCAACAAAAAATATCAAATTGCAGAATTTATCAATATTTATTACAAACAGACATAATCAAAGCTAAAACCAAACACAGGCAATTGTTTCTGTGCACAGTGAAGAACTGAAGAGAGACATTTCTTAACCTGTCCTGGTTCACAGTTAATATATAAACCAAGAAGTATAAACAAGTTAATGGAGAATAACCCTCACAAACAAAGGGGTCTAAAAGAAGAGCTGAAAAAAAGAATTTTTACAAAAATCTAACTTTCACTGAAAACTGACTGAAATCCAAGAAATTCAGCCACAACTTTTATAATAGCATAAAAATCTTTCTTAATCTCAAACCAAATTAAAACTCTGAAAAACAAAGTAAACAATAGGTATATATACAACACTCTATTTCTTTATGTGTACACATACCATCAATTTAACTAAATGCCATTTGTTACATTGCCATGAGACTGATGCTACCTTTGATGTTTCATGCTACAGTAATCTTTTCTAATGGAGAACACCATGGAATATTTGGTGACACAACCTCTCTCATAAATAACTGAAACTTAAAGCTTCTGTTTCTTGACCAATTTTCTAATGTAAAACCAACAGAAAGTACACTGATAGTTTTGAAATTTATACATATTAACTGAGGAGCTGAAAACATTTGGTACCTTTCTGTACCTGGTTAACTTGCTCAGGTTTACTACGTGTTCATTGGATTGTTATGACACACACTGGTATTTTAGTAGAGAGGGCAAAGCACTTATATCTTATATAAAAAGAATATAAACTGTGACAGTGAGCAGTTGTTTTACATGATGAATCACAACAGATTCTCACGTGTTCATGACACTAAGAAATCATGTAGTATCAAAAAATCATAGTAAGTGGAACATTTATCTGATTTTCATTTTGTGTGGTATACTGAACTCATTTTAATAAAACTCTATTAACGAGTGGTTCAAAACATAAACTGGTTGTTATAACTGAAATATTCATTAAGTTAAGAGTCTCTACTTAATTTATAACTTATTTTGATTATTACTCTTCTTTTGCTTAAAGTTTCTAAAACCTGTATTTTGTATTTTTTTTTGTCTGTCAGGCTCTTGAGGATGTCCATCTCAAACACCGGCCCTTACTGAAAGAGATACTTGTCGTTGTAGACAAATTTTTCACAGTCATTTTCTTTCTAGAGATGATGATAAAATGGTTAGCTTTTGGCTTCAAAAAATACTTCACAAATGCTTGGTGTTGGTTGGACTTTGTCATTGTTTTGGTAAGTTATGATTAAGCTTATGCTCTGGTTATTAATGTAGTTTCAGTATTATATGCTGCTTTAATTTGTTTATATACTTATATAAATATGTATATATTGTATTATTTTTCATATAAATTTTTATTTTGCAGTAATTTTATTTTAAAGGTTAATATTAGAACCAATCATCAAATGATATAAAGTTATTTAGCATAAATTACTCATGTTTTAAGAGCTCAATGTTTGAAAGATCAGAAAAGCTTACTAACATTTGTTACTTTTTTATGTGGTATTTATAACTGTATATGAATTATTTATGGATTTATGTAAAACATCAAATAAATTATTTGCAGTCTAAATAACTTGTGCTTTTACTATGCAGTGGACATATTTACTAAGTAATATCTTTGCAGTTCTTGACTACTAGATTTTAGTGTTTTTATCCTACCCCAATCCTCAACAATATTTTCCTAGATCCTCTCCAACTAATCCCTGGGATCTTTTTCTCCTTATGTGCCTCTCCTGATTCCTGCCCATTGCCACTCCTTGCTGACCTAATAAGGTCTCCTTGTTTAATCTGGCTGTTGGGTTAATGGGATTTGGCAACATTCCTGCTTTTAAAACAATGCGAACCCTACGAGCCCTCCGCCCCCTTCGTGCCTTGTCTCGTATGGAGGGTATGAGAGTAAGTAATTTAACAGTGTCTACACATGATTGTACTGTCCATGATATTGTGTTTGTGTAGTTTTGTACCTGAATGAGTAATGAAATCTGTCCATGTCTTGTAATTGCTGTGATGTCTTTATGTGCTGTTGTCATGGGTAAACACAGGATGTCCACTAGAACCAAAAGTCTGTATGGCTCTGCTGTAACCATTCAATTTTCGTTCATCTGCTGAACATTATCATCTTAAAGAATATACAATATTCTAGCATTAACACATTGAAAAACCTTTTACAAAGAAAGCAGAGGTTTCATGACAATTTATTTTCCTTCAAATTGATTAAATGTTGGTTAAGAATTAAGCTTATTTTTATAAATCGATGATTTTGGTTGATAGCTTCTACACAAAACAGATGTTACATTTCCTAAGAAAATAAAGCTGTCTCAATATCTCCAAAACAAACAACCAACAACCCTTTTATGAAATACTAGATTCTGAAAGTTTAGTAAACAATCTACTTTTTAATGTAACTACAGAGCAAGTAACATGTATACAAAAAGTCAACAGGATTGGTTACAGCAGGATCCAGTAGAAGGCTCAAGGTAATTGACCAGGATGGTCTTGTGGGTTCTAGAAGGAGCCTTTTATGGAAGTGAATTTCTACCCTGTCAGGTTTCAATGGTCAATCTTGTGGCAACAATGGTAGGGGTGGGAAAGATCCAAGCCTTCAAGACAATGAGAACTCTCCGTGCTCTCCGACCTTTGAGAGCCCTTTCTCGATCTCAGGGAATGCGGGTAAGTAAGTTTTGTTCAGAGTAAATTTTCCAGCTATATCACCAACACAGAATGCACTTACTGAACAAGCATTCTTTTGTTATTGCTTGAAGTTCCTTAAATTACTAATGGCTGAGAGTTGGCTTGAGTTGTGAGATGAAAAGTGTACTTTTTGTTTTAAAAATGTCTCAAAACTAATATTCTAAAATTATGCAATTAAGACTTACATAGACCTTTCACACAGTTTCACACAAAAATTAATTAATTATGATGTGTTTTTCATTGGTAGTTCCACTGATACTTGTTGTGACTACAAGACTCATTATCTTTTTGTGTGTTTTATTAAAAAAGTAATAATAATAATGACCTACTAAGATGTTCACAACTGGTGGGTGTGGCATAGTTTCCCTCAGTTAACACATATCTGTAATTATACAACTAGTGGGTGTGGCATAGTTTTTTATACAATTACAGTTGTGTGTTAGCTGAGGAAAACCATGTTATACCCTCTAGTTGTATAATTACAGTTGTGTGTTAGCTGAGGAAAACCATGTTATACCCTCTAGTTGTATAATTACAGTTGTGTGTTAGCTGAGGAAAACCATGTTATACCCACCAGTTGTACAATTATAGATGTGTTAACTGAGGAAAACTATGCCACACCCACCAGTTGTATAATTACAGATATGTGTTAGCTGAGGTGGTTGATTTTTCACAAGATACATCAGTCTAAGCCTATATCACTATTTTGTGGGTCTTCCTACAGGAAATATATATTTTTTTGTATGCCATCTGCATCTTACTAGATGTTGTATATGAATATTTGCTTTTATTTTTACCTTTTGTTTATGTTTTTCTTACTAATTTTTGGAATTTTTAATTGTAAAACCTACAATTTTAGCCTTTCTAAGGATTGAACACTGAGTTGAAAATAGACACAGGACAGAGCATGCTCTTTCTGTCTAGTTTTTGTTTGCTTACAGCTTGATCATGATGTAACCAATTTTACTAGCCTGTGTGTGTGTGTGTGTGTTTGCATAGTTTGATTGCTTGTTATGTAATAATTAGAGACAACCAGGCATCATGAAAAGGTAAGAAAATAGATGGTTTAGAAAACCTCTTAAAAATCAAGTAAGTAAGATCTTTTCATGTTTGTGTCTTGTGATTTTCATGTTCACATTTTTTGTGCTATCTTATTTCTTGCACCATTTTACCTCTTATAGAAGTGGAGCATTTTTTTATATTTTATTCAATGCAACTTAAAATTTGTAGTTTCATTGATATGCTTTAAATACTTGTGATTTTTATGTGACATCTTATTTGATACTTTGATATTTGTTATTAGTAGATTACCAAATTACATCAAGTAACCAAATAAAAGTAAATTAATTTTGCCTTTTTTGAAATGAAGATCAATTTAATTTTTATATATGCAGTGTCTAATAGGAAGACGATGAGAAACTGACGAGGAATAACGAAATTTTAATCTATGAATCACATGAATTTTACTGTCAGATTTAAATAACCATTTTGAATAATTTTTATTGGTGTATGCTAGAGGAGCACTTTTACTTATACTGAATAAGAGTTTGATATAAATATCTAGAAATTTGAAAAATAATTGTTTACCATTATATTACTATGCTATTGTTCATTTGCTCTTGTTTTCCTATTTTCATTCTGTCATATTCAATTTATTTAATGTAGGTGGTGGTGAATGCACTTATCCAAGCTATCCCAGCAATCTTCAATGTTTTGTTAGTTTGCCTTATTTTTTGGCTAATTTTTGCCATAATGGGAGTCCAGATGTTTGCTGGAAAGTACTATCGGTGTATCAACCATGATGGGAAACGTTTAAATGCCTCTTTTGTGCCAAACAAACAAGCTTGCGAAGCCAAAAACATGATTTGGGACAACCCCTTGATCAACTTTGATAATGTATTGAATGGATACTTGGCACTGTTTCAAGTGGTGGGTACTGCTTTTATTTAAACACGAGTAGCTTAAGGTTTTTAGAGAATACTTTAAAAATTTTTCCAACTATAACTCAGTAACATGATGTTTCAAACAGAAGTGTATTTTGTCTAACCAAAAAAAGAAAACTGTAAACATATCCAGTTTGCTGAAAATTAACTTTTCAGATGCTACTTTAAGAGACATGGGTTTTATTGTGAACAATTATTTTCATTTTTATAGATAAGGTAAAAAGTATATTCAAAATTAATATTTTCTTTTCAAATGTTTTAATTAAACAAATGTGTCAAAATTGTGCATAACAGAATGGAAGGGTAATGCTAATCTTATCTGTTAATATATATTATGAGAATGTTCTTGTTTTTCAAAAATGTATGACAAAATATTAGTGTCAATTTAATAATATTTTCAAGTGTCTTGATGAACGTCATACTGGAATTGTTTGATTGTTAAAACTGAGTTACTTGTATATAGGTTTGGACTTTTAGCTTCTTTTGTCTTTTTTGTTAACTTGTACTAAATAATCACATTATGAAATAATATTTTTATCTTTACAGGCAACATTTAAAGGTTGGATTGCAATTATGAATAGTGCAATTGATTCAAAGCTTGTAAGTACTTTTTTAGAAAAAGTGATTTTCAAAATTTTGTAAAAGGTTTTTCTAATGTAGAATATTTTAATAGTGTACTCATATGCCTGTCTACTGCTTTTGTCATCTTCTAAGAGAGTATCAGTTCTGCCTGAATAAACAACAATATGCAGCAGATAGGAAACTGAGAATAAATAGCTTGTAACAAGGGAAGTTTTACGACCCACAAAAACCATTCAAGAATTTTTAAAGTTAACCTTAGAGCATTGGAATAGGTCTGCTTAATAAAATGAGATATAACAAGTTATTTATTACTAAATCTCTGGGAAATTGAGTTCATGAGAACAAAGTAGAAACTGAACCCAATGTAAAATACAATTAAGCAATATCATTTATTCACAAACATAAACTCAGTGTGTGTGTGTGTACTTGCTGTGTGGATACTGGACAGTCTTTCTACTAGCTTAAGCACCTTCAACTGATCACGTTGAAATAATCTACTAGACTATTTAAGTTCAATGTTCCATGTCTTGCACATAATGTTGAATTTACCCAGTGATAACTAATGCTACTCATGTGACTGGTCTTTCTCTTTCAAACATAGGCAATGATACCACCTGAACTATCATTAAAGGACACTATCTGTCAACCTTTTTTGCACAAGGTGCAGAATAACAGCCATGCTTCCCATGGGCAGAACAGGTGTGACCACTATAGAATTACAGGGAACAAAAAATGCTACAATGACATCAGCTTAATGACTTTATTGACCACATGTCATGTGAAACCTGGACAAATACAGAACAAATAAAAATTCAGAATAATGTTATATCCAAATAGAAAAGTTGAAACACATGGTGTATTTATAATTCACAATATCACATGCTCTATAAATCATTTTCTCATTAATCCATAGTTTTGGTTCTTCTTATGTCCTATGTTATTTCACTATATTTGTTTTTTTACTTGGCATTTCCTGACATTTTTAACTACATTTTAATAAAGATTTTGTATAGACTTTACTGCATGAGATTTTTTAAGATTTCCTCACAAATTTTTGGCTAACTTTTATCCTGGATATGTTAATTTTGAAGTCTTCTCTTGTCTGTGTTCAATCAGTTCCTCCTAATTTTCTTTTCTGCCTTCATTTCCACCCTCAGATGTTTTCCAAGATACATGCTTTATTTTTCATTGCATTAGATTTACCACAAAACCTTTTTATGGATTTTAGATTTATTAAAGAAGAATCTTTAGTGGTACAGGAATATGGCCTCGATTCTACTAGACAAAAGAAATAAAAGATACAAAATATACCCTAAAATAGCCAATCCTCATTGCTCTTTGCTGACTTCTTTATTATTGAGAATAGTTTCTTATCAAGTTTTCTAAAACGTGCTGCAACGAGATGTATATGAGTGTAATTGCCAGTAATAGTTGTAACAGTTTTAAATGACAAAATGTGCCACTTCTAAAGCATATTAAACTTTCATGTTTTTGGGTAATAATGGGTAGGTGTTATGATCCACAGGAGTTTTTATTCCATTCACCAAAATCTCAGGAAAATGCTAAATCTGGCTTACATAGAATTTGCATTTGCAAGTTTAGTTCAGTTCTGTAGTTAAATAAAATAATCTTTAAAATTGCATTTAAATTCTTAGAAGCACGTTTCGCTAAAACTTTTTTGAAAAATAAAAATATTTCTTTAGCTAGGAGAACAACCAGAAGATGAAGTCAACATCTACATGTACTTGTATTTTGTCTTTTTCATCATCTTTGGTTCCTTCTTCACTTTAAATCTCTTCATTGGTGTCATTATCGATAACTTCAATGAGCAGAAAAAAAAGATAAGTTACTTTACATATTGTTTTTTCTTAATATATTTACTTTTGTACAGTATAGATGCTTAGGTAATTTTACTTTGTCCTTTCAGTGTTTACATTTATACAAGGTAAATACACATGTTTTTACTTCTCTAATTATGTGTTTGCTTTTGAAAGATTAGTCTTCACTAACAGTGTTATTTTCTGTATTTTTACGCTGGTGGCTCTTTAGAAATGTTCATGACAGAAGATCAGAAAAAGTACTACAATGCTATGAAGAAAATGGGATCTAAAAAACCCATGAAGGCTATTCCTCGACCTCGGGTAGGTCTATGGCAAAAAAAATGCTCATCATATGTCATTGTGTGGTTTTAAAAAAACAATTACCTTTTATTAACTGCAAAATTGAAAGTTTCTTTTGTGTTTTTTTAGTACTGCCAACTGAAATTTCAGAGGACAGCTCGTTATTTGTCCTCTAATGACTTGTTAATGGATGGATAAAGTCCTCTATCTTAAGTAATTAAATTTTCTCCCACACAAAATGACTATCTAGTATCCTTTAAAAAGGGGCAGTTCTTGTGCTTTTTATGTGAACTGTGTCTGATAGAGAATTAGGTATTTTCCTTCATCATGTGTATTCTCTGACAGTTCTAGTGTAAAAATTGAACTTAATGTTTATATAGTTTCATTGTGATTTGGTGAAGGTTAAGTTAACTCCCTCAATTTGATCATATTACTTAGTACAAGATAAGAAATGGAAGTGGATAAATGATATTATGTTTGATTTTTCATCATATAAGTTTAGTAACATAAGATGGGGATTAAGAATTCATCTTTGTCTTGTTAGTTACTGCATGATAAGAAATTTGTAAGCAGAAGGTTGAGTAAATGTATTTCATTTTTTCTGTATATGTATCTAGAATGGTAAGATTATGGATAATTGTGTTTTTTGTTAGGGAAAACAAAGTTTTTATGTGTAAATATTACATTAATATTTTAAATATGACTTATCTTGTTTTATTACAGCTAAAGCTACAAGCTTTTATCTTTGACTTGACAACAAACACAAAATTTGACATGGCCATCATGTTGTTTATTATGCTGAACATGATAGTGATGGGCATGGAGCACTACAAACAGACACCGATCTTTGAGCTGGTTCTTGAACGTCTGAACATCTTCTTTATTGCTGTCTTTACAGCCGAGTGTGTGCTGAAAATATTTGCTCTGCGATGGCATTACTTTAAAGAACCATGGAACGTCTTTGATTTTGTTGTTGTTACTCTTTCTATTCTAGGTAAAGTTTTTGGTTATATTACTTAATCAAATCCTTAGTTTCACAAAAATTACATTTGCCTCATGAACATCAAAGGTCTAAAATTCTGGCAAGTTATAGCCCACAGCAAATTAATTACAGGTACCATTTACTTTGTAAAAATGATCTCTAAAATAATTTTCTTGTTTCATCCAACTAATTGTCTTGGTGTACTCTGTTTGAGTCTATTTTTATGTTGTGTGGCTGTCAGTGGTACTTGTTATGTCTCATTGAACTTTTACTTGTTATCTCCTAGTAGACTTTGTTTGTTATTCCCTAGTGCATTTTTCTTGTTATTCCCCAAGGGCTTTCTTGTTATTCTCCAGTGTATTTTATTTGTTATTTCCTAGTATATTTTTCTTGTTATTCCCCAAGGGCTTTCTTGTTATTCTCCAGTGTATTTTATTTGTTATTTCCTAGTATATTTTTCTTGTTATTCCCCAAGGGCTTTCTTGTTATTCCCCAAGGGCTTTCTTGTTATTCTCCAGTGTATTTTATTTGTTATTTCCTAGTATATTTTTCTTGTTATTCTCTAGTGTAATTTATTTTTTATTCCCTAGTGTATTTTTCTTGTTATTCCCCATGGGCTTTCTTGTTATTCTCCAGTGTAAATTATTTTTTATTCCCCAGTGTATTATATTTGTTATTCCCCAGTAGACCATACTTGTTATTCTCTTGTGGATGTTACTTGTTATTCCCAAATGTATTTCATTAGTTCATTTCAAGGAGACTTAATTTGATAGTCCTCAATAGATTCTACTTCATAATCCTTAATACATTTTATTTGATAGTCCTTAAATTTTACTTGCTAGTATGGGATGTACCTGTTTATCTATTATGGATTTGACCTGTTTATTTACCATGGATTTTACTCAATCATCACAAGTAGATTACATTTTTTATCTCCAGATAACATTACTTTATAATAACAAATGTATTTTATTTCTTTATCTTCCAGGTATTTTGTTTGTTCACCTGTAAGTGGTTTTACATGTTAATTCCAGTGAATTTTACATGTTTGTTAGTAGGTTATTTTAGTCAACAATATATTTTAGTTGTTCCTCTCTTCATATTGTACTTGCTCATTTTAAAATGATTTTACTTGTTTTTCAAAAGAATTAGCTTCAGTCAATCAAAAACTGTTTTTAGGCAATTTTATTTCAAATTTTTGTTTCTTAGAAATTGGATTTGTTGAATAACATTTACCACTAAATTTTATAATTTTTAATAATAGATTTCTTTTTCCAAGGCTTTTTTAACAGCTCTTATTCTTAAATCTGTGGTATTTTGAACAGATGTTCACTCTTATCTTATTGAACTGAACAGATTTCATCTTTAGATTTTTATTCTGTTAAGTTTATTTTTTGTTTTATTTCAGGGGTGGCTCTTAAAGACCTCATTGCCCAGTACTTTGTTTCTCCAACTTTATTGCGTGTTGTTCGTGTGGTAAAAGTAGGTCGAGTGCTGAGGTTAGTAAAAGGAGCCCGAGGAATAAGAACTCTACTTTTTGCACTGGCTATGTCCTTGCCTGCACTATTCAATATTTGCCTTCTTTTATTCTTGGTCATGTTTATCTATGCTATATTTGGAATGTCATTCTTCATGAACGTCAAACATCGCGATGGAGTTGACGATAACTTCAACTTTGAAACATTTGGACAGTCCATGATTATTCTATTCCAGATCTCCACATCTGCTGGCTGGGATGGAATTCTTTCAGCCCTTATTGATGAGACGGATTGTAATCCTGGGACAGATGGCACTGATGGAGACTGTGGAAATAGAGGAATTGGTGTTGCTTACCTGATTTCCTATTTGATAATTAGCTTTTTGATCATCATTAATATGTACATAGCTGTCATATTGGAGAATTATAGTCAAGCCACAGAAGATGTGGAAGAAGGCTTAACCAATGACGACTATGATATGTATTATGAAATTTGGCAAAGGTTTGACCCTGATGGAACCCAACTCATCAAATATGAAGCGTTATCTGACTTTGTAGATTCCCTTGAGCATCCGTTACAGATTAAAAAACCTAATAAGTACAAACTCATTGCCATGGATATCCCAATATGTGAAGGAGATACAATTTACTGTGTTGATATTTTGGATGCTCTTACAAAGAACTTCTTTGCCTCCAAAGGTCGTGTAATTGAAGAGACGGCTGAGCTAGCTGAAGCCGTACCTGCAAAAGAACAAAGAGAATTTGAAGCAATCAGTAGCACCCTCTGGCGGCAGAGAGAAGAATATTGTGCACGTGTAATCCAGCAAGCTTGGCAACAGTGTAAAGTGGCATTTCAAAACAAATCATCACAGAAGACCACAACTGCTATTGTAAGTAATGGTCAAATCACTAAGAATGGCCACAAAGTCATGATTCGTTCTAGGTCACCCAGTATAACCAATCAATCAACAGATGTGTAAAGTTTCTGTGGGAAAGTACTAAATGAAAATATAGACTTTAAGCCATTCTGTTAGAAGAAGAGGATGTCCATCAATAAGTTAATCGGGTTATATTTTTATATTCCTTATGTACAAGCTGCATTCTTTCAGTGCCGGTGCTTGGTTGATGTAGAGTAAACAGGACGTTGTTATTATTATTTTTCTACAGAAATAGGTTGATGATACAGTCAATATACACTGTTCATATGCAAAAAGTTGACAGAAGAATTTGTTTTTGTATAAAGGTATTTGGTTTAAAGTGTTTGACATTGAAACAGATTTGCTGCATGTTTTGTTTCTGTAAGAATTAGAACATCAACTTTAATACTCATGCTTCCATTGTTGAAATGTTATTTCCTCATGGTTTGATTGAAATATTGTATTAAATTTGTGTACTCGATTTCTCTACATGACAGTCACCATTGCCAACACTACACCTTGGTTCTATCTATAATCAACTATATGGGTGATTTTTATAATTTGCTTAGGGAGTGTAAAGATTTTGTCACTAAGTTGATTAAAGATCAGTAAAATGTTTATACTTTAAAAAAAATAAGATTAACTAAATTGTAACCACTACTTTTTTACTTTTTTGTGTATAATTGCCCCAAAATATTTCTAATTTTAAAAGGTAACAGAATCTAAATGTAATCTCTACTTTTCAACTCTCATTGTTGTACAAACAGTGTGATATGGTAAGACATATCTTACCTTGAAAGTTTAAAGATTTTCTTAATTTGTTTTTGTTATCCTATTATTGCACATTCAGTGCTCAATTTTAACGTTAAGTATACAATCTAAAAATCCCTATGTAGACCCTTGACCTCTGTACTTACTTTGTGCAGCAATGCGTTTTCATTCTTGTTCAATCTGTGCCTTTTTTTGCTGAATTTATCATTTGACCAGTGTAGCTCAAGAGGAACAGTACCGAAAAGGTTGGCTCTCAGAATCTTTAAAGGGGAAAATGATCTGATAATCAAGAATAAAATCTTTCTGATGAGGAGCAAAAAGTGAATTATTTTTAATGAAGAACAATAACTGTTATCTTTGTAGTGAAGAATTGAAATCATATCAATGAAGAATGATCAGTGACATTTTAATCATGATGAATGATTAGTAAAATCTGTAAAACAAAGAATGGTTATTATAATCTTTATCTAGGATTTACCAACTATTTGTTGACCCATATAGAATACCAACAGTTGAAAAGCATTTTATTCATACTGATGTTTTAATATTTGACTGAAATGAAGATCTTTACATTGTATGACATACAAAGTAGATGGCATGTCCATTCGTGGATCCAAATAGTCAGATCTGTTTCACGTAGATGACATTTCCATTTGTAGATCCAAAGTGTCAGATCTGTTTCACTTAGATGGCATTTCCATTCGTGGATCCAAGGTGTCAGGTCTGTTTCACTTAGACGGAATGTCCATTCGTGGATCCAAGGTGTCAGGTCTGTTTCATTTTTTTTCATCACCTTATCATACATAAAACTTACTTTGCTTGAGATACTGTTTTTTGTAATGCTAAACGTTAGCACATGCACATTGATTTTATTTTACCACTGTGTACTGTTGATGGTAAATGGTTACTATTGGAGAGAGTTGATGTATGCACCAGGTAGGTGATTTTACTGTAAGGTGGAACTTGCCAACTTTTTGCATTGTTCTGTGAATATGATTGATATTAGACTATCTCAGAAGGTTGGTTCTTTACCGCCAGAGTAACCACATGTGGGCTAACCCACTCAAAACAAGGATAATATTTCTTAATATCAGAGCGGCCCTAGGGGACCCCTCACCCTCAAAGTAGCTATTTTGTTTCTCGTGTGCCTTTGTGAGTCGCAAGTTTCCATCCAAAATGTTTTAGTTTTTCTAAATTGTCAAGTTTTTTCTTAGCCATTATTAACTGTCTATGAAAGCTCATGTTGTGCGTCATAAAGAATAACCCCAATATGATTTATGAAGATGTTAAAAAGATTACACAAGCAACCACTATAATATTTTAATATGCCTAGTTTTGTAGCTTTTAAGTGAGGTAGTATAATGACAGATTTTTCAACAAAAATAAAAATAACATTTTGCTGTTTTATAAATTTACGTTATCTAGTGACTGAACTCATTTTTCATTATGCGATAGCGACACTGTCATATGTCGTATGGTAACCCTAATACACTATATTATGTAGCGCTATGAAAGATATTCATTTAGTCTCATCCTTCCATTGTTGTACCAGGACACGTTTTATCCTTCTACACTCACTTCTAATGCTCCCTAATGGATTCAGGCTTTCAAGTATATATATATTTTTTCTTTGTATATGTTTCAGGCTTCACAATTTGTATCATATTTCTTGTAAATACATGGTTGAATAAATTTTATAATTTATCACAATAAATACTCTCTGAAGCTGAGCACTGGTTTCGATTTTTTTATCTTAGAAATTTTTAAAGAATAAACAAATATTGGCTTTCAATTATGCCATCAGGGAAAGTTCTTTGTCTTCTTTTTATTTTACCTACATTTTACTAGTATTTTCTTTCGTGCCTCCGAAGTTCTTGAAGCCTTTAGAGATTATTTCGGATTTAATTTTAGGCACAAAGCTGTCTGAATTTTTGGGATCCGAGTCCAAATATAATTAAACCTCTGTAGGTACGAATCTGAGTATAAAGAATTTTTTAGGTACAACCTGATTTGTAAAAAAAATGATCCAGCACATTCTGTGCGTATTCATACAAACTAAGGTCCAGTTGGAGATAAATCTGTTTGAGTCATCTTTGTAAGAAAGAAAATGTGAATTATGTCGTGAATATAAAAGTTGCTTTATAATACACGTCATGGATGACAAAGTCTATGACATATGTCATAAATATGTACAGAACAACCTTGGCCGATTTTTATGTCACTATGGAACACCACTTAGTTGGTAAAATTGAAGAAGAGAGCATATTGGACAGAGTTTGATTTTAATGTTTTTTTGGGACTATTAAGAATTCCTTAGAATCCATGGCCAAGTAAACTGAGCTTAGTATTTTAAAAAGTAATAAAGTCACCTCTCTCTAAGATTATAGTGAAATACCAACAACTTAGTTTTATACAGTGAAATTATAAACATATAGTTGTCAACACGTCTAAACGAGTCGACTCACAACACATACAGCGACAAATGTGCTGCATCTGCAAAATACATGCTTCGGTAAAATGAACAAAACACAAAACAGATGCTGGCTAATTCAATAATAAATTGTAGCTGCAACAGTTTAACAAGTTCTACTGAGACTTCTATATAATTCTATAAAAACTAGTGTGTTTTACTATTCATGTGTAACTCACATCATTCTTCTGAAACAGTTTAACAAGTTCTACTGAGACCTCTTCTATATAATTCTCTAAAACCTAGTGTGTTTTACTATTCATGTGGAACTCATATCGTTCTTCTGAAATAGTTTAACAACACTCCACCCCCAGTCCTCAACAATAAGCTAGAGGGTTTACAATGTTAAAATTTCAGATTGGATTTATGCAATGGCCAAAGTGTGGATAGCTTTGAACTTAACAGAAAGAATAATTTTAACATAATTTTATTTTCCATATGATTTATACAATTCAACTAACAGTATGCATGTCCTCAAGTAACATCTACAACTATCTAGTCAATATGAAATTGGAGACACATTCTAGTCAGAACCTCGCACCACTGCTTTCTTTATATAAGAAATATAGCTTGACTGGGCCTCGGGATGTCAAGACTTCTTCAGAGCAACTGATGAGTATAGTAGCCGCTAAACCATAAGCCAGTGTAGGGATTCCTACATGAAACATAAAAAATCAACCACTTATTTAAAATATTTGATTTTTCTAACTGGCAGCCAAATGAAAAGATTTAATAAGTTGTTTATTGTAAAGAATGATATAAAGTGAAATACAGTTGAATATCAAATTATGATTTTCTAAATTACTTATTAATTATAACATTGTGCTGTGTTAGAAAAATGTTGTACTGTGTTCTGTCATAGCATTATGTTATGATTGTTGTGATATAAGATTGTACAATGTCATAACTACATTATAGTGTATCATGATAATGTTATACTGTATTAATAATAGGTACATGAGTAAGTAAGCACGTTTCATTAACATAATAATAAATACATGAGTAAGTAAGCACATTACATTAACATAATAATAAATACATGAGTAAGTAAGCACATTACATTAACGTAATAATAAATACATGAGTAAGCAAGCACATTACATTAACATAATAATAAATACATGAGTAAGTAAGCACATTACATTAATATAATAATAGATACATGAGAAAGTAAGCGCATTACATTAATATAATAATAGATACATGAGTAAGTAAGCACATTACATTAATATAATCATTGGTAGGCAAACAATGATTTATAAGTATAAGGAAGAGTTTCATTGATGGTGAAACATATTACGTGTTTCAACAAAACATTGGTCTGTCTTCTTCAGGTATGAAATATTTTCAGGTATTGCATATTTTTTAACATTTAATTAGAAATTAAATGTGGTATTGAATGTAGGAGCTGATTTGTCTTTTATTTGTTCAGCTGAAACTCTTATAAGGAGTTCTTAAGGTTGTCTGTATATAATAGTGTGACATACTAAGTTGTGAATCCAGCTGAATCTTAAAAAAAAAGATATTTTCTACTATTTTTAATTTTTCTAAAAAATGTTCAAACCATCATATGTTAGTTTAATATTTAGATTCTGCTATCAACTGGTATATATCTGAAATGATTTTCAAACCATCATATACTAGTGTTTATCTTCTTTATAAAATTAACAGAGGGACATTAAACTTGAGCTTTAGTAAATATAATTCTTTCACAGAACTAATATTTATTTTCAGTCATAATTATTTTAATTTCAAAATGAAACATTGTTTTACATCAAGTTTAAACCATTTTCCATGATAGAAATATTAAATTTTTTATCCACAATTATGATAAACAATCATACTACTGTATGGATGATTTAAAAATGTAAAATTATTTACAGAAAGTTTACACAACTCAGGTTATTGAACAGAAAGAAGCTTCATATAAAAATCAAAACTCTTGAGTTGTTTTTGATAATACAACTTAAGGCATGAAAAATACATTCAACTAAGGAAAATATTCAGAAACTACTGTTCTATTTTGTTTTCAAATATCTGATTGAGAAATAAACTCTCCTTATAAATTATATCAGGTTTGTTTGTTTTTTCAAGTAGAAAAATCAAATATTGGTGGATCACACATTTTACAGTAGAGGCTTCTAAAACAAAGAAATAAATATAATAGCCTCTAACTTCACTATTTATAGTATTATATCAATTTATATGCAAATATTATTGTACTAGAAACAGAAAGCCATAACAGTGCTACAAATGTTGCCAATAAATGTTTTAAACAATTAATAATATACTTCCTTTCAATAAAAATATGTGACAGAAAGTCATTGGATTCATTGAGATGACTGAAGTACTTTAACTGCAGCCAAAAATATGAGATTTGATAAGGCAAGGTTTCTGAATTGTTAAGGTTTTGAACGATGATTCAAATATTTACTGTAACAATTGTGATAGGGAAAAAAATACTCACGAAGATCAATACTTGTTCTTGAACAAAGGTATTTTTCTCTCAGAACTGTTTAACTACTGAAATAGTTTTGCATGGTGATGTAGTTTGTGCTGATTAGATGAGTTAGAATTTGGACTAAATAATTACAAACCATATATTCTACAAGTTACCACATGTATAATTAGAAAATACAATACTTCTGCCACAGAGCAACTAAGAATTCTAGTTTAAACCTAACTTATTAAACCTAATTTAATTTATAACAACTGGTTTTTCAATATTTCAAGATCTTTAGTGAATCTTTTTTTATAACATTTCATAATTTTTTTTAAAATTCCCATGAAAAACATTTTAGGACTAAAAGTAAAACAAGATATAACTGCAATTTCCAAAAGTATATTATTCTAAATGTATGCTACAGCACAAAATGAAAAACATATAAAAAATCTCATTTCTGTGCTAAACATTCTAAATTATATGCACCTAATAAAAAAAGTTACATTGTATAATTTTGTTTTACATTTCATGATTACAACAGCACTGTTTGAAATGTCACTCTGCACTTGTGAAATGCACCAATAGCTATCACATTGTTTCAGTCAACATTACCCATAATTTCTGTTTCTTCATACCAAACAAAGTAACTTAGGTGAATTTCATCTATATGTTATTCTGTTAATTCTATACAGGAAGTTCTACTTTGAGAATACGTGAAAATACTAGGTAAAAAGAGGGCATTCTGTCATTCATAGACATCCTAAAAAGAAACAAGCTCAATTTAAATAAGTTATAACCCTTAACACCAAATTGTTATCCAACAAAATGTATAGAAGTTCAAACTATTGTCACCCACATTACATAGTCTTGCAAACCATTCCATTAGTTAACATCTCTAACAGGGGATTAGTTTTATTTAATGACCAGTCTGGGCTTGGGGTTCATAACTTATATTTATTTTTCTTAATATTCAGGCTTTCACCTGCAACATTTTCCTTCTATCAGTCACAAACCTTCCATTCACTGTGAAAATATTAGAGTTTTATTAACACATGAAAAACGTTAAGTTAATCTAGGTAGATATCTAACAAAAATAATATCAACACATAGCAGTCCTACCTAAATTCAGAATCTTTAAAAACCTAAACATTGCATCCTCAAACTGTAAATCTTCAATGCCTCTTTTACTGCAGTGGTATTTAATGTAAGGGAAACAACCAGTTCGTAATACATGATAGTTGACTCCATTCACATTCCAGTTGAAATGTGACAGTCCAAACTGGTCATTTATGACACAACTGTATTTAACAAAGTAGGAAGTCCAAGGTGGAAACTGGCGCTGAATAATATGAGAATGTAAGACTTCTGAGGCAAAAGGTTTGCGATTTTTACCTTTAAACCCAAAGTACCACTTCATAGTTGTCAAAGGTCCAATAGATGCTTTCTTCATTTTTTTGTAATTAAGAAATATTTAAAAATTCTATACCTATCTTTCACATTACATTTAATCTTAAAATTTTTATATACATTTTCTACTTATTCTTATATCCGAGACCGAGACTAAAAATAAAATCATAAGTAAATACTAAGTTACAGGCCTAGACAACTTCAGTTTAAGTAGTACCATTAAATCTTGTTTCCATTTTGAAGCTGACTATAGAGTAAATTGTGGTTAAATGTTATTGCTAATTGACGACGATATTATATATTATAAAAGGATGAAACAGAAAGTGAGAAACTGAACTTAGCAGTCGACGTTGCAACTTTGTTTTACCAACTGGTGTCTGAAATCTGAATTGATCTCTGTTAAAAACAAAACAATTATAATAAACCGCAGACTATCCTACGTTAATTCACTTATAAAGAAACATTTAGTACAACTTAAAGATACAAAAAATATGTAATGACATTTATAATCACATGTATTACTCAATCATATAGTATCTCCGTATGAACAACCTTTGGAATTACAAAGCGTTCTCTTTTGGCGTGTGTATATTTGTAACACAAGCTCGTACATTTTTTAAAAATTAAACTAAATAATGTTAATATATATATTTTCCTTAAAACCAAACAATCACAGGAGTAGGTTCATAAAAAGGTTAAAGTAATGGTTATAGATTAAAATGATAAGTCTACAGTTAGTATCGGAGGTTGTTACTGTCTTCTGGTGGATCAGCGGCAAGTATGTCGTCTTATAACGCCAAAAATCGAGTTTCAATACTCGCAGTGGCACAGCACAAATAGCCCATTGTGTAGCTTTGTGCTAAACAGCAAAGAAAATGTCATTTATTTCAACAGTCCTCAACTGCTTAAAGCTTTTCAGTGAATTCTCATGAAAAAAGTCTAACATAACAAGAAAACGAATTTTAAAATAAAAAGAGAAGTTCCAAACATAGCGTAGTGAATTTATAAAACTACAATATGCAATTTTAAATTACCTGTTTCAAAACTGAAGACCTTTATAAATGAAACTGTTATTTTCAAAATGTATGAAATATAACATAACATAACTTCCACTGAAATTCTGCGGGCTTATAACGCTAAAAACTGGGTTTCTACATCCGTGATGGGTACAGCACAGGTAGCCTATTGTGCAGCTTTGTGCTTAATTACAAACAAACATAACACCACAATGAATTATTTGATCCCCGAAGACCTATCAGAAAAACGAACATTTTAAATCCACTTTGTATTTTCTTGAAAATAATATTTTTCTTTCTTAAACTCTTATCAGGTACGGCCTTCATTATTGGGGACGCCAACTCATTCCATAAGCAAATACACTATTCAAAAATATAATTCTCTTATTAACTGGAACCTTACTTGTCTTTTCTAATTTTAAGTTTGTATCCACTCATTGTGTTGTCTTAAGAAAACAACAAAAAGAAATCAGCGACATTGCATTAGTAACAAGAGTACAGTGTGATTGAACTCTATTTTATAAAAAGATTTTGCTTTCTGTCATTCAGATTAATTAGACTTTCCCTAATTCCTACTCATGTCATTTTCTTGGCTAATCTTCTGTTACGCACCTTATCAAACCCTTCATGAAAATCTCACTACACTAAGTCCACACCATTTCCATTCTCCAAATAAGAAGAAATATCATTCGAAATTTGAAACAAGTGATATATGAATTAATAAAAAAACTTAACCTAATATTGTATACATACATAAATCAGAGCAATTATTATGTGATTGTAACTTACAAGTTTTTTATGAATCATTAAATGTCGTATTCTAGATATTGTTTGTGCTACGTATCACTAAAGAAATTATTTATTTTTACTGCATTTTGGGCAATCTTATTTTATTTCTAAGTATTATCTTGGTGTCTGATTTATTTAATAATATAGACCTTAACTGGATATGATTAGTTAGCCATCCCTCGCTGGGACAATGGTAAGCCTTTGGATTTCCCCTACTAAAATCAGGCGTTCTATTTCCAATGCAAGCTATTTAATTATAGCGAAATTAGAATCAACCTGGTGATGAATATACTTTTAACAATTCAACACGGTCGTTATGAAACTAACCAAGAAAAAAAGTGAAAATATACAACAGTTGAAAGAAATGTTAGTTAATATTCATCATATACTCAAGACTCTGACTATTAGAAGAAAAGAAAAAAAAGATTTGAACGTCTTAATCTGTAAAACTATTCGGAAATAATGTATGATTTAAGTTTTTTTAAAGATTTTGCTATTATTGAATTTAGAAGTAAACACACACAAAAACCAGATTTGGCACTTCAATACTTATTGGAATGATTTGTTCTGATTTTATTTTAGGGCTGGTAAAGAATAAGGTTCTAATTAATAATGATTTTTTACATATTTGTTGGTTCTGATAAAATAAAGGATATTGATAATTATAAAAGGTCCCTCACACAGTTTTGTATATTTTTATGGAGACATGCGCAGATTAAATGCTATCGTGACTGCGTGTAATAGTTGAAGTTTGCAGATTGTAAATAAAATTAGGCTTTACTTTTAAGTTTAAAAACAAAACAGTTATTAATAAGTTTTTCAGTCGTAAAATAAGAGAGATACCTTACAGATCTTATTTAAATTTGAAAACTAAGTATAATTCCGATAATGTCAGCAAATCAAACTAAGCCAGATCAGTTATTTGATATCGCTAATTCATTTTACATTGGAAATTTTCAGCAGTGCATTAATGAAGCTCAAAAAACAAAGGTATGGGAAGTATTAAACTGTTTAGTAATACTAATAGTTATGAAAAATATCATACATTTATGTCGCTCAGCTATGTTGACATAAAATTGATGAAGTGTTAAATTAATTTGAATTAATAAGGTTTGTAAGGAATTATTGTGTTATATCGGAAAGAAAGATTAATTATCTTTTTTTAACAAGAACAAGTAATATATATAAAGTATGAAACATCATGTACAATTTTCAAGAAGTGGATTTCAGCTCATTATCATTGTAGAGGGCTGATGTAAATGCAAGTCAATAGGCATCATTCTTAGTTTTACACTAGGATTATAACTTAGTGCTATGCTACTTATTGTGTCAGTGCAGTTAGTAATAGTAGTGTAAAAGTCATGTATATGGACAAAAAGAGACCATACTGGATCTTCAAGGCTGTCCTTTTCACACCCATTCTTGAGAAAAGTAAAATTTTAAACTCACCTTGTGATAGTTTAACTTCATAAAAAGTGCCATACTAGGCTCCAGCTGATTTGAGAGAGCACAACTTTGGTTTATGAGTAGTTATGGGTTCAAATCCTGTAAGCAGAAGAAGCAAAAATAGGGATAACATTTTATTTTTCACTGAAAATTTCGGTACATTATTACTTACCTTCATAAACTGGTTAGGTGCTGGCCTACACTACTGTCACTTATAACTGGGTGATTAAGTAAATTAATTATAATTGATTACCTATAAGCATCAGTTACATTGATTAGTTTCACATACAATAATTGAGGAATTGAAATTATGATTAAATCTATCAGTGTCACAACAATAATCATCTTATCAGAATCAGTGTTTCTGATTATTATTGTTTTCAGTTATTCTATTTATCCAAGTAATTGAAATATGTCATTATTCTTTCTCATTATTATATTTGACTAATTCATTATTATTCAGCTTAACCTGTAAATGTAGCAATGCACAAAAATGACCAACTAGTCCAAATTAGTGTTCCTGATTATTAATATTTTTTATTATTCCATCCATCCAAATATTGGGTAAGAATCAGTTAATAAGCACCAGTTAAATGATCATCAAATTACACTAATCACTCAGCTGTACTGCCAGTGGCAATTCATTCCATAAGTTAGTCACCCTGTTAGAAAAATAAAATTGGAGATTAAACTTGGGGCATCTCATCTTATTATTCTTCAGAATATAGCACAAAGAAATTGGGGACTTTTATTTTACCCTTTCCCCAAATGATCTTGTAAACTTAAGTAAAATCTCTTTTATCCTTCTTTTCTGAAGAGAAAATAAGTTAAGAGAATTTTACCTATCCCTGTAAAATAACTCTTTTTATACTCAGAATCATCCTAGTATCCCATCACTGAACCTTTTCCAGTAAGTCAGTATTCTTTCTCAGATAAAATGACCAAAACTGCATTTAGTATTCCCAGTGAGGCTTAATGAATGATTTATATAGAGAGATAATTACATATTTTGACTTGTATTAAATATTTCTATAAAATACATCAAGGACATCAGTCTAGGATCAGATCCAGTTGCATTGGATTTCGTTTCAGAATTAAAGGCAATTTTAACTGCCCTTGAAATGTTTAATTTTGACATTGGTAAAACAACACCATCTGATGGTCTGTCTCACAAGCAGTTATCCTTGCAGTGTAAAAAACTAAATAATCTTTGTTTAAAGAAATCAACATAGAGTCTATCAAAGTTAGACAGTTGCATATCTATAAAAGAAAAGACTTAAACCACAGATATAACCCTAAAAAATGTCAGTGTCTTTCTTTGACTACAGTTGACAAGTTTGTAAAAGAAAAGACTTAAACCACAGATATAACCCTAAAAAATGTCAGTGTCATTCTTTGACTACAGCTGACAAGTTTGTAAAAGAAAAGACTTAATCAACAGATATAACCCTAAAAAATGTCAGCAAAGGAAGCAGACTTTCATATCCACTTCAGTTGATTGTTGAGTATCCCCTTTTGAAGATGAATGATTATCATCAATCAGTCTGATTGTTAGACTAGAGGATTCCTACTCAGAATAACAATTATTACATGATGTTCACACGTATGTTTTAAAGTGATGAAAATTGATGACTTTCACCAGTTTCAAAGTGAGTTTTAGTGCTAGTACATACAAAGTCACAAATGTCAACACACATACATATTGAAAAATTCCAAATCTAGAAGAATATCACTGTAATATGAGGGCAAATCATAATTGTTACAGAAGGCATTAGCATCATCACTAATTTCGTTCTTAATAATTTAACTGTTCATAGAAGTGGTTACCCAGTTCTGAAGTCCTGTGGAGAACCCTGGCTATAAGTATAATGTCAGAGGAATATACAAAATATGATTTTTATAGAACTTGATGCTGCTTAATGTTGTTAACACTTTTGGTGATTACAGTGCTGTAATCTTAAAAGGTACACCCAGTCTTATGCAGGTTATTCAAAATTCATCATTGCCCTCAGAAAGTCCAGTCTTAACATCAACATCATTAGTGTATATGTACTTCTCCAAAATGTGTTACATCTAAGGCATTTCATAAGAATTGAAAAACAAGTAACTGAGGCTGTAGATGGCTATATGATGTTTTCTGTTTTCATCATACATATAAAACATATGTATATACACACACAGGTGTGAGAGTTAAATTACTTTTAGGTATATATATATATATATATATATATATTTTGTAGTAACTTGTATTTTTAATATGTTATTTGTTCTTTAATGGATAGGTACCAAGTCCAGAGCAAAGAGTGGAGAAGGATATTTTTATGTATAGAGCTTATATTGCTCAGAGAAAGTATGGTGTGGTACTTGATGAAATTCACCCAGCACTGGCTCAGGAGCTTCAGGACATCAGGTTGTTAGCTGAGTATCTGGCTAGTGATCGAGCAAAAAAGTATGTACCATATTGAAAATAAACTATATGTAAATCTGGTAAATGTGTGTGAGGAAATATGTGAAAGAATTTTGACAAATCAAAAACACCTGTTTGATATTGAAAAAGTAATTTTCATATGCTTCCATCTAGTATTGAATTCATAAATAACATGAATAGGTATGCCAGTTATAATTTCTACATTTTTTCTATACCTTGATAGTTTGCAAAAAAGAAATTAACATTCATTAATAAGCTACTATATTTTTTATTCAGGCTTGAATTTAACATCTATTTTGTGTTAGTGAGCTGGTCTGTAAGATTTCTACTAGCCCAGTATTCACCACTATTGCAATAAGATAACCAGTTAATTGTAAAACTGTTGTGTTAGAAAGACAAAATATATAATACTTACCACTTTTACCTCTTTAATTTTTACAAAATTCAATTTTGTAAGAGACTGACTTTTTATCAATTGCAACACCCTGGAAGATAAACTTTTGAATCAGATGTCTTTAAACTTGAACAAAAGATTCAAAATACTATTGATTTTCAGGAAGTATGTAATGTTGGATCTATATTTATTATTTCTATAAATTTTCAGCCTTAAAATGGTATGTACATTCCTATTCTATTACATTGCTAAACAATTAGGCCTAAAACAACACATCTTACTGACATGTGTTTTTTACTTGATGATAATTTGCATAGAAATTATATTGAGTTTTAATGATGGAGGACAATTTATTTTGAAAAATATAGGCTTATGTTTAATTTAACAACAAATCTTTTTACCAAAAATTAGCCTTAACAAGTTGATAGGCTAAAAGTGTTATAAAAAAACAAGCTGAGGTACCAATCCTTTGTCTGGTTTATGAACTTAAAAAGAAGTGTGGGGGTAGGGGTGATGCTATGATAAATAACACAAAAATCCTAACTGTCACACTATTTATCTATAACATAATATATTATTACAGTATTCATCATTACCTCACCAAAAGTTTTGTATAAGCTTTAAGAACTCAATATGTAAATACTTAAAACATGGTATACACTGTGCGATGGTCAAGGTGATTTTGTAGGAAAAGGTAGCAGCTGAAGTAATGGTGGCCACAGAAGTGTCTTACGAGTCGAAGTTGTAAGGTCACAGGTCAAAGTAGGAAGCTGGTATAACTCAAGAAACTGCTCTTCATACCAGCCTTATGGTGGCTGTTGTAGTATAAACTTCATCTGAGTTAATGTATTATTAAAATGGTGATGGCCATTTGTTTTCATTGCATTCTTCCCTAGAGAATGCTAGCGTACTCTCTGAGATATATTAGGTCATCAAGAAACTAATGTCGCTTTTATTAGATGAAAAAACCTTAACAACTTATATATCAAAACATTATTAAATGAAGTAGTCTCCATTGTTATTGATGAGGCTTTTCCATCTTACAATCAGGTTGTTAATGCCCTGATTAAAGAAATCACTTCCATATTTGCATACGTTTTTCCATTAAGATGGTGTTGCAGTGAACGAAAAAGATGGTAATCTGGAGAATATGGTGAGTGGGGGAGAACTTCCCAACCCAACTCAATAATCTTGTGTTGCGTCAAATGTGCCACATGTGGATGTGCATTGTTGTGAAGAAGAACACCTTTCCGAGTGAAGGGCATTTCTGATAAAGGGCTTGATTTAAAAGTTTCAGTTGCTGACTATAGATCTCTGCATTGACAGTTCACTGTAGATTGAGGAGGTCAAAATGAATTACTCCTTTGAAGTCCCACCAAATGCAAAGCATCACTTTCAGTGGATGGAGTCCAGGTTTTAGGGTTGGAAGTGGTTTTTGTCTAGGACTGAGCCACTGTTTTTGGCATTAATATTCACATAGAGAATCCATTTTTCATGAACTGTGACAATTCTGTCCAAAAATGGTTCAAGCGCGTTACACACCAGAAGAAACGAAGCAACATTCACACATTGGAAACAATGATCATTGGAGAGTTCATGAGGCACTCAAACACCTTCTTTAAGGAGTTTTCCCATATTCCTTAGATGTTTACGTATTGTTTTATGAGAGACATGCAATTTCAGGGCCATTTCATGAGTGCGTTGCTTTGGATTAGACATCTAAGCTTTTCATAGCTGTTATGAAATGGGAATGTCTAATATAGGAGAAAAGTATGAACAGCAAGATATAATGATGATCTCTAGGTTGTGGTGCTTGTGGCTATCATTTTATAAACACCAGAAAGTTTGGTTTACTGAAATTTACTATAGCCAGTTGGACTACTCAAATTGCTAAACTTACCAGCCTCAGGCTATTAAATTACTAAATTTGGGCCTTGTTATTGAAGTTTTTATTTTTTACAAGTATTCAGTCAAGGTTAGAATATGAGGGAATCTCATGTTTAATCAGAACTAATTTGTTTATATGATGCATGTTAGATATTTGAAATATTGTCAATCAAATACAGTATACCATTTCATTGAAGTTTTTTGTACTACATATATAATTTTATTTTAAAAGGGACAAAATTGTTAAAGAAATGGATCAGAAGATGACAAAAAGTGTTGATGCTACAAACACCACTCTTTTGCTAATAGCTGCCACAGTCTACTGTCATGAAGAGGTAAAGTGCTGTGAAAGTAATCTATAATGTATTAGTTATCTAGAGATTTACAGATCTGTACATAAGTATTCATGATAAAAAATTCTAGATATCATCATAAAATACGTAAAGAAAGTGATTTTGGTCAGCAATTTTGGTCAATGAACAATATCTGTTTAAGGAATAGAAAAACTTCTTTTAATGTATTTTGATGAGTGGCATATTTGTTACATGTTTGTGAAAATACAGAACAAGTTGGTTCATGATGTTGGCCAAAGTTTTCTCATCAGTTATAAAAAATAAAACTTTTTTTTTATTACAGAATTATGATGCTGCTTTGAGAGTATTGCAACAAACTGAAACATTGGAGTGGTATGTTTTAAAGCTTTTGCCACTTCTTTGATTAGTAATGTATTCTAAATGGTTTGAAGTAATTAAAGTTGTAAATCATGGATTGTTTCAGTTTACTTCAGGGAGTAATATTAAGCTTTGTTTTAATTTTTTTCTTCATAGTATCACTGTAGATATTTTTATCTTGATTTTCAGAAATACTTTATGAGAATCTTTTTAAGAAGTTAATTACTAGCTTAGACTTCTGTGGCATTGGTGGAAAAGTTTAAAAAGTCCTTTGAAACAGGATTTGTTTGAAAATATGACAGTAATAGATACGAAGATGTTTGATTAAATAAGTATAACAAATTATCCTGTTTTACAAGCTTTATTATTAAAGATGTATAAAAAATGTATTGCTTGTGGTATGTTCTACAAAATGTGTTGTCCGCTTAAGATTTGAAATCTTGGTAGTTCATCTGTTCTCATGGCAAGTGTGTAAAATGGGGTCAAGTCCCAACCTGAATAGATTGCTTTTAGCCTTGTTCAGATTGTTACTATAACATGAGTTATAAGGTATTTACCTTCTTGATGTCATCAAACTGCTAAGTAAACCTAGTACTGAAGAAAATGTTGTACTGATATACAAAATGTGGTGACTTGCTAAGAAGCATAAAGTCAAGCATTCAGAGTATAGAATCCAGTCGTAGAAAAGGAACTGGATATTATTATCAAGAAATACTTGAGATTTTATGAGAGTGTCTGGGTGTGATGACTAAAGCTTATTTTGTAAGAGGATACATGTCTATAAGTTGAGTTGGCATTTGGTAATTGATTGCTATTGTAAATGGTTTTGTTAAAATAAAATATAATGGCAATATTTGTTTATACTGAGTATTATTTACACTAATCAGGCTTTGAGAAAACTTTACAATGAAAGAGGTACCTTTTGACAGTATATTCACTGATCTAATGTAGATTACGTTACACATGCTAACAACATTTTCAGCAATCAACTAAAATGTAAGATAAATTTTTATTTTTTCAAAATAACTGATATGTTTTCTATATCTACATGCTGAGGTCAAATTAGCCAAAATCAGTTTGAAAAAGAGAGCTTAATTTAGAAAAGTGAATTTCATTAAAGCAGAAAAAATTTATAACTGGCCATAAAAGTACACAAGTTCCTTGTGAACATAATTTTTCTGTTTTCAGTTCTGTAATGATGCTCCAGGTGTACCTGAAAATTGATAGAGTGGATCTTGCAAAGTGAGTACATTCTGGGCTAAAGAATTTTCACTTGTACATATATATATATATATATGTCTGTGTGTAAATATATATATATATATGCACACACACACACACATTGTTTATTTCTAATACTTTACAAAACTGTACCATCAATTACTCAATGTAAAATGTGAACTCAATTTGTTGATATAGTTTTGATGTAATTGAGGAGTATGTGTAAAGTTGTGATTAGGGGTAGGAAATAAACTGATCACATATATGTGTCTATTTCATCTAAGTTATCTCTTTAATGAAGTAAATTGTTCTTTGGTTTAGTTAGTATATTGGTTACTTCTCTTTCCCAATTATGAACACTGTATTATAGATATACACATGCAAAGCTTCAGGTACAACTATAATAAAGAACACTGTATTAACCTTATGGTTATGGGTAAGTTCATTTGGCATAGCTCATATGGAATATGATACAACAATATTTATGATAACTCTTGAGTTTTTGTAATGTGTCTCCATAAATATTGGTAAGATTTTGTTAAAGATTACAAGTATTTTGTACACCAAGAAGTAGATTATTGTTGTCAAGTATTTCCAATAAAATTCGTTATTTATTTTTTTTAGTTATTTGTGCTCAGACTCTGAATAGTTTGAATGTAAAGTGATTTTTATGTTAAGTATAAAAACACTTTTTCCATCTTATAGTTTTTAAATTTTCATTTGCATAACCTCTAAAACCTCCTAAATGAATATCTTTTTAAGGTAGATGTTTGTACGTTATTTTTCACTTTCTTTACCATATTACTAACTGTAGCCATTATCATCATTATAGTGCAATTAAATGTTTAAAATTAAGACTTAAGAAAAATGTGCATATCTTTTAATTTTTTGTCAAATAATCTTAAAAGATCTTTTTTGTAGTTATAATTTTAATTAGATGTCTTTACATTTTCCAATATAGTTTATATTTAATGTTTTACTTTCCTTTCCTGTCCTTTAGCATTGTTATTATTTATTGTGACACCTGTAAATGGGTGTCCCTCTCCAATATTACTGTATTGTCAGCAGAGATATTTTAGCATTTGGCAGAATGTTGTTACACTTGCTTTCTACATTAACCCTCATGAAGTGAGAAGGAGTTGAGTTATGTTAAAAGATTATTAAACATTTCAAATATGCATCTTAAAACATAATTAACTAAAATATAAATAAAATCTAACTGTCTATCTGATTAACATATTTCTAGGTGAGAAACAACTCTAAGTGCTTAGTGAGGACAAAAGTGGAAACAATGCTAAGAGCAATTTGACAAGTTCTCTATGAATTCTTTGCATAAATTTTACAATAACTATTGGGAGATCGCATTTTAAAATGTTCTTTTTTTATTGTTTATAAACATCTAGCTCAAATAAGTATAATTGGTTGAGAAATCACAACTCTATGTGTAGAAATTGATGTGGCTTCTGTTAGGAGTTCCAAGAAATTTATTTCTCCTTTCTCCAAAACATACCCTAAGAAGCTCAATAGAAGAATGTGTAAACAGAGCAATTAACTTAGTTTCTTTCTCTACATATTACAATGTACGTGAAGAAGTATTGAAGTTGCATAGACTGAAGAAAAGTAAACTTGGGTGTCATATGACAACAAATCTGAAGTTTTAAGAATTTTTTTAAGGTTTCTTTTGAATAAAGGAATTAAAACTTAAATATTATAAAACATTACATTATAATGTACATTAAAATGCTCATTTTATTGATTTAAGTTAATAGTAAAGTTGCTTAATTAAATTTTGAATGTAACTCATTAAAAGCTCATGTCATACAGAGAAATGTGAAGAAAGGGTAACCTGAAACCACAGGGTTAAAGAAATACATGTAACAAGCTTGAGATGCAACTGCAGTAACGATTACTGTCCAGGTGTGAGATCTGAGTGGGATGTTATAATTTAGTTTGTTTATATTTTTCTTCTCTGATACGCACATTTTCTCTATTAGTATTAATTTTTATGAGATTACCTGTTACAATTACAATTATTTGATACAGCATTGTTTATATGAGTCTTTGTCTACTGATAAATATAAATGTATTCATATTTGTTTTATAACTAAATGAATTGATTGGGACTTTTGCAGGAAAGAACTGAAGAGAATCCAAGAGAAAGATGATGATGCAACACTTTCCCAATTAGCTCAAGCCTGGTTAAACCTAGCAATGGTAAAGTGCACAAGCTCAGTCCATTGGCCCAATTCCGTATTGGAATATTGACTATAATTCCAACTTTACTATGTATATCTATACAAAGTGTGTCAAAAATTGAGTAATTTATGTACAAGTCAGATGAGGTATAAAGATATTTGTATTCAAGATTTTAGTCTGACTCAGACTCTGACAAGTGCAAGGTACTTTTGTCCATCATACAATTTCAATATTGTACTTACATAGCTTCTAGAACCTCTGAAATGCATATCTACAGTATTATTCAGTATCCCTAAATATTGTATCTGATATTTACCCTCCTCTACCACAACCGTTGCTAAATCAGTAATGTAAAGTAAAATAAATAGTTGATAACACTGACATTAAATACATAATACCATGTTGACTTTTCACCTAGTTGCATAGAGTTAATGTAGTCTACATTGATTAGCATCATTGAAGGTTATTGTAGCTGAAAACAGAGTTTAGATTATAGACAGAAATGAACATTTTGTAATAGTTTATGCTAGGTGTATTTGGAGAAGTTCAGGAGTGAAAAAGTTATTAAAGCAGAGTATGAACAGAGTTTTTATGCTTTCTGTTACATCAGCTAGTTAAAATTTCTCCTGTATATTTTCCTAGGGGGGAGAGAAGCTTCAAGAAGCCTTCTACATCTTTCAAGAGCTTGGAGATAAATATCAGAACACTCCCCTCTTGCTGAATGGACAGGCTGCTGCTCTCATGGGCCAAGGCAAGTTTGATGAGGCAGAACCACTTCTGCAGGAATCTATGGATAAAGTAAGCGATTTGTTTGAATACCAACTTAGCCATTGGAGAAGTAAGTTAAAGGCTGTTAATTTAGATAAATATAAGAGTATAAGATTGTTATTACAGAAATATTTTATCACAACTATAGCAAATAAATATGAGTTAAATGTGACATTCTTAGAATTAAGTATTTAATTACATGCTCAACTATTAATTTTAACATTGGAAGTTTATAATATAGTAGTTTTGCATATTAATTTCTTCATTGCTAAGAATGAACCATTTTCCAATGAAGTGGCTTAACCCTATGTTAATATGGCCAGTTCAATGGACTGACCCCCTCTATGTGAAGCAATGTTTACTATAATTCCCAAAGATATGTCTGTGAATTTACAAAGCCTTTAATGAGTTAGTCTGAGTGAAAGGTAATTTTCATGCTAAGAATCAAAATACTTTTTTCATCTTACAGTTTCATATTTTATTTGAATAACCTCTAGAACCTCCCAAATGAATATCAAAAGTTTTAATCCAGTAAATTTTCTCTACCTTAACACCAACTGTAGTGAAATAATCTGTAACAAAATCTGTAGAATGCAAAATACTTTTTTGTCTAGAATCACTGCAGGATTGTAACAAAGAATTACAATTATTTATCCAAAACAGCCTCAGGCTCCTAACAGATTTACATCTGCTTTGATTTAATTTTATTGTTCTTTGAACTTTGTTTAACTAGTGTAACAAAGGAATAAATCATCAGACAAGAGCCTAGGGTGATCAAACTATCAAGTTACATCACCTTTACAAACATACAATGGCTAAATCATCAGACAAGAGCCTAGGGTGATCAATCTATCAAGTTACATCACATTTACAAACATACACTGGCTAAATCATCAGACAAGAGCCAAGGGTGATCAAACTATCAAGTTACATCACATTTACAAACATACAATGGCTAAATCATCAGACAAGAGCCAAGGGTGATCAAACTATCAAGTTACATCACATTTACAATCATCAGACAAGAGCCAAGGGTGATCAAACTATCAAGTTACATCACATTTATAATCATCAGACAAGAGCCAAGGGTGATCAAACTATCAAGTTACATCACATTTAT